AAAAAAAAAAAAAAAAAAAAAAAAAAAAAAAAAAGAGGCGAGCCCAACCTGCTGTTGCTGCTGCTGTATAAAGCTGAGATTAGCAGCATTCCTTTCGCTTCCAGGCTGCGCTGCGGTCATTTGTTGGGCCACCATAAAAGGAGTACCACTTGACGGTCGTTGTCCAGATGCACTTGCGCCTACACTATGTTGTTGCTGCTGTTGTTGGCTTGTCTTAATATTAACGTTCTGGGTAGCTGAAAGAAATATTAGTCAAACGAGGCTAAAATGCTGCTATCCTACGCGCAAATAAAAAAAAAAATCTAAGAAGTTCACGAACCAGAGGATCCCACAGAAGGAGGCCGAGCACCTGGAGAAGCAATCATCGATGGTGACATTCGCACAAGAGGTGAGCTAAAAAAAAGCTTGCATTTACCCTTTAGACTAAACACTAAAAAGCGATAAAAATATCACCTGAAACGTCAAAAAACTATTTAAACCGACTTGTCTTTCGAAGTGTTTGATATCCCAGAAGAAGTGGTTTTCAGGTCGTGGATTTTATGCTTTCCAGTTGGGACAACAGGACTACTGCTAAGTGCTGCCATGCCATAAGGCATTACTAAATACGGCTGTGGTATCAAACCTGCACTTGTGCTTGCAACTTGGAGACTAGGTGTACCAACAGCCATCCCCAGCGGAGGGCGCAATGCTGAAACAGCCGAATTCATGACGAGAAAAGTAATTTTTCAATTCCCGTAACTTTAATAAACAAGCACAGACAAGCGTAAACGTCATTCTAGGCAGGCATTTAATTTTAGTAACACGCCTGTAGGCAGAGGATCAGATTTTGGACTACAAGCGAACATTCGGCAAAAATCACACCTTGAGAAAAAGTATTTCCCTCAAGAGGCGGATATGGAGAGATCGGCGAGAAAGAATTGACAACTGACGAAATCGCTGGCGGGTGCTTTGTCTCTGCCTTCTTTGATACTAAAAAAATATACTCACATTTGCAGATTTCCAAACAAAAACCCCATAAACAAGTGACCAGTAGACCTTAATTTCCAAACAGCAATGACAAAACAAAAAATCAAAAAGAAGTGTAACTTTTCCCCAAAAGACAATAACCTTATTGGATAGAAAGTCAGTGAAATTTCTCCTTCCTTAACCTTAAAACAATACAACGTACATCACTTGAAACTTACAGTTACTAAATCACCGCAAAAAAAATACGTAAAAGAGACAAGATAAAATTGTTCAGTTTATGAGGGATCTGGGAGGAACGACTGGAAAAAAGCACTAAAAATCTCCCGATTTAAAC